CACTCACGACTTTTGAGGCACACAGAAAGCATCTATAGGTAAAGAAGATATGTAGCAATAAAAACGATGCTGGAAACATCTGCTTTTCAGAATGCTGTCTTGTCACAAATACATTTTAGTCCATAAAGAACTGCAGACTGGTCTATTTGAATTAGACTTCAGTGCCATGAGAATGACCTGAGGGTCTGCCTGCAGACTGGTCTATTTGACATGGTTGTTTGGGTCAGCAGACTGCCTCAGCATGCTAGGAGAGAGACAACTTCGAAAGCACTGGATGAGTCAATTGATATGTTACAGAATTTAGACCATGTGGTAAGTCAGTAAGTAGGCATTGAATAATCTTTGTGTCCAGATTAATCATGCTGTCATACATAACTCATTTGCATTGCAATTGGTGCTAATAATACCCAATGGTAATGAATTTTAACCACCCCCCCCAAAATGGACTACCTACCTATATATTTTAATTACACGGGTAAAAAAAATCTTTAGTAAAGAAAGAAAGCCAAACCAAAGATAACATGGTATGAATGGATAATAATCAGAATTTATTTCTCATGAGCATCACAGAATGCATTTGTTGTCCATTATGAAAACTACTAATGGACAGTGCTATCCTCCTAAACTCTAAGTAATCCATACCAAATAAGGATGCACTGGCCAGTTTTATGCCAACTTGAAGCAAGCTAGAGTCATTTAGGAAGAGGAACATCAACTGAGAAAATACTCTCACCAGATTGGCCTGTGGGTGCATTTTCTTGATGATGATGATATGGGAGGACCCAGTTCACGTGGGTAGTGTCACCCTTAGGCTGGTGGTCCTGGGTGCTATCAGAAAGCAGGCTGAACAAGCCTTTAAGCTTTTTAAAACCTGCCCCAAAGTTGGCATGCCTTTAATTTCAGCAGTTGGGGGGCAGAGGCAGGCAGATCTCTGTGAATTTGAGGCCAGCATGGTGCACATACTATGTTCCAGGACAACCATGGCTATGTACAGAGATCCTGTCTCAAAAAAACAAAACAAAACAAAAAACCAACCAACCAAAACTAAACTAAAACTTGTCCCCAATGACATACTTCCTTCAGCAAGGCCACACCCATAAGCTTCCCCAAACAGTGTGACCAGCTGAAGAAAAAGTATTCAAATGCCAGAGTATGGGGCACCTCATTCAAAACACTATACTGTCCACTGCACTCCTATATTGGGCTACACATACTCCCATCTTTGAATAACGGGTACATTTTCTACTCCTGGTAACAAATTGAACATTTGAAGTGTATCTGGTTATGAAGAATAGAAGGACCCATTTGGCTTAAACTGGTTTTGGATGCATGCACAGTGTGATGGCTGTTCTTGGTTGTCAACTTGACTATATGAATGAACGACAATCCAGAAATGGAGGGCACATCTGTGAGAGATTTTCTGCTTGATTTGAAGTGGGTGAATCCACTTCTAGTTGGGATCTTGATGAAAGAAGACACATGCCTTTAATCTAAATCTTGAGGCAGAAAGACATACCTTTAATATGGGCCATACCTTCTGCTGGAAGTCTATATGTATAAGGACATAGAAGAAGGAAGGCTTTGCTTTTCCCCGCTTGCCTTCACCTTGTTAGCACACCCATTCCTTCCCTGGCAGTAGAGCCTACTAATTCAGGATTCCAGGGTACACTGAAGACCAGCTGAGACACCCAGTCTTGTGGGACTGAGCAACTACTAGATTCTTAGATTTTCCATTCACAGCCAGCCATTGTTGGATTAGCAGGACTACAGCCTTTAAGTCATTCTAATAAATTCCATATTATATATATATATGAATATATATGTATATCCAGTCCATAAGTTCTGTGATTCTGGAGAATCCTAATATGCAGTAAAGCAATACTGTGTCTTCTAGTAACCTTTTAGGGAGATTCCCCTACTTAGCATCATATGCCTATGCAAAATTGGGTGTGCATATGAATAGAATCAGATGCATGAAAACCCATGTGAAGGAAATTATTATATAATGTCACCCATCAATCAATAGAAAACCAGCTCCTCCACCTAACTCCTGTGGCCCACTATCACTCTTGACAGTGTACCCCTTTAATCTGAACTACTTTGCTCCAAATAAAATTATCTTGCTTCTTTTGCAAATCGGTAGAGTCCTTATTTTTTATTCTTTGGCTAAGAGGCCAAGAACCTGGAAACACTTGGCCCATGCCCTGACCACTAGTGACAATAGATGTAAATTGCATACCAAATTTAAAGAGTTGAAACGTTTCTTTACGAAGGAGCCTATTCTCCATTTCTTTCCCCACACAGAAAAAGGATGCTGTCTCTGAATACCCCCACCTCAGTTCACAGCGCTGGAGACTGGAAAAGCCCTGCACTTTAAAAGCACAGAGAAGCATATGGAGTAGCTATAGAGAAAGTTCATTTGTATTTAAAGATCTGATTTTTCACTACTGTCAGCCACAAAATGGTCTAACTCTGTGTCAGTAATATAGAAATGTCAGCATTAACAATTATTTCTTCAAAGTATCTTTAAAGTATTGTTTTAGGTAACCATGTTCTCTAGGTAGTGTGCTTGCATGTAGGTTACCAAAGTTGAAGTTATAAGTCCCGGGAATAAAGATGGTTCTCCTGTATCTTCAAAGTACCTAGCATTAAACCAAGCTTTACCAATGTGGAACTTGGCAAGCTTTTAATACTAACTAGCATTTAACTTTTCTGTCCTCTGTAGTCAAGAAAACACAAATCTGAAAATTTCAAAACATCCCTCATTTACTGAAAATTAGAGAAAATCTTCTCATTAGTGAAAAACAAACAGCTTGGAGACAGAGTGGGTTTGTTTCCAGATCACTGCAGGACAGTAAAAGATTCTGGGTCTCTCCTTCACATGGAAAAGTTGTGTTTCTGCTAGATAATAGCCTGTAAATGTGCAAAGACACTGTGTCTAATAAAACGACATGCACACATTACAGTACTTCATTCTTAAATATTCTAGTAACCTTTATAGAATACTATTGAAAAATGGCTTCAGGACAGGGCCCATGCCTAGCAGTATATGTACAAAACAAACTCAGTGGTATTTTGGATTTTTGTCTCAGAATGCATTGTCTGGGCATTTATTTATTTTTTTAAAGCCTTACAGGTCTTTTGCTTATATTACTGTTTCTAGGTTTTGGGTTCTGTTTGTATTGGATTTCTGTGTGAATGTCTGTGTTTGAGTCTGTTTCTCGTGCTTTTTCCTTTTTTACCTTTTCTTTTTCTGGTTTTCTTTAGCTTTGGAGCCTGTTTTGGAACTTGCTCTGTAGACCAGGATGGTCTTGAACTCACAGGGATCCACCTGCCTCTGCCTCCAGAGTGCTGGGATTAAAGGTGCACCATCACTGCCCGGCTGGCTCATTTTTCTGTTTGTCTTTATCATTAATATTTTTTAGGTGCCTGTTTGTTTTCTAATGAGAGAAAGAAAGATTGTGGATTTGGGAGGGTGGGAAGGTATGGAGGACCTGGGAGAGGCAATTAGAATACTGTATGAAAAAAACATTTTCAATAATAAAATTAAAAAATGGTGATGGCATTTACTCAAATGAGACTGGAATAACCTTCAATTAGTAAAAATGCAGTACCTTTATAGTGCAATAAAATGAGGTATGTATGTACATCAGTCTGTCCCACAAGGCATGTTAGGTAACATCACACTGGCAGAGTGGCTATATTCAAACTAGCCCAACAATTCATTGCATGTTCTCAGACTGCTTCAGTTGGACAATTATTATTAAAATGGCACTCTTCTCTCTTCTGACGATGCTGTCTCCAGAGGCCCATATCCCCCTACCACCTTCCCATTCCCTTCCCCCAATAACCCTCCACATGAAAAAAAAAATGCTACTCAAATGATGTCTAGAAAACTGGCCCAAGTTTTCACTCAGCACTTACCTCATTACTTACTGTTTCACAGCAATTTCCTGCACCCTCTAGAATGCTAGAGATATCTGAATTGGGATACTGTACAATTTTAAGAATGCTTAGAACACTGACACCTAGGAGCACTGGGTGTTCACTTACCGAAAACTTTGGAGGAAAGAGTATGACAGGGCCTGTAGTCTATGGCCTATAAACTGTTGAGGAGTTAAGCTCTCAGTGAAAAGGGGATCCAGCCCAGACAGTGGTGGCACATGCCTTTAATTCCAGCACTCAGGAGGTAGAGGCAGGCGGATCTCTGTGAGTTTGAGGCCAGCCAGGTCTACAGAGTGAGTTACAGAAACAGGCTCCAAAGATACAGAGAAACCCTGTCTCTGAGGAGGGTGGGTGAGGGTGGGGAAGAAAAGGTGATCCAATCTAAGAGGGGCTGTGACAGGTTTTGAGAGTACCACTCTGACTACCCTAATTAGGGATGAGTTACAGTAAGCAGGGATGGAAGTCAAGAGATACAAGACAACAAACAAGACAACAATAATCTGAGAGAACCATGAAAGCATGGCTCAGGGGTAAAGCAGTGTCATGAGAAGTGGTATTTTAGATGATTGGGAGGGAGAGCAAACAGCGTTCCTTGGTGGTTTGGACATGGGCTGTGGGATGAAGAATTGATGATGACAAGGTTGTTTTGGCTTAAGAGCTGAAAGAGTTATGACATCACCAACTGATGAAAAGGGCAAATAAAGGGCAGGTGAGGGAAGGCTGTTTCAGTGTTGGCTAGGTTTTAAGATGTTTTCTTAGGAGATGACAGGAGGGTCTCATGGTTGAAGTTGGGTGGTGTTCCAGATGGGGCACATAAATTGAAAAGGTCGCCAACTGCATGTGAATGGAACCTAAAGTGAGCACAGAAATTAGATGTAATGCCTGCCAATGGCTAAGGGGCCTTCCAGAGGGAATGAACAGTATTACAGAAATGGAAAGAATCTCAGATTCTCAGGAAAT